GTGTTTTGAACCAACAAGTTGGTGTTAATTACTTACAGCAGCCATAGAAAACACTAACTCAGGAGCTGGGTGGCCCAGCTCTGTTGCTCACCATCTTTGTGGCCACCAGCATGTGTTTCTCTCTGGGCCTCAGTTTCTGCATCTGTCAAATGGGGGTAATGATGGGATCAACCTCACAAAGTTGCTATAAGGGTGAGCTGAGGTAAACCGTGTAACGTTTTAGAAAAGTGCCTGGCACACAGTAAACGGGTCAGAAATATGGAGGCACTGGGGCATTCCACTGTTATTATTTTGCAGCATATTTGCAAAGATTCAGCAAGTTTCCATCCTCAGGCTCAATTACCAAACCATTAGTATTTGCCTTGCCCCTCCCTCCGTCCCCACTTGGCTAATGTTAAAATTAGAGCTAATGGAACCCATCAGATGACAGTACCATTGTTCCCTCTTATATTTCCTGAGCCACCCACAAGGCAATGCCCTGAACCAAGGGTACACCAGGTGCCTCTGTGCTTCTTTAGTTCCATCTCAAAGAGGGATAACTCAAGTTCACACAGGAAGGCCATAGCCCATCTGTCCCATCCAATGCCACCAATTTCCCTGAGAGCTGTCTGAGACTTCCCCATATGTCTTCCCCTCCCCAGCCCGGCCTCATCATGCTCCTGTTCAAACACCCTCAGTGGCTCCCACTAATTCATCAAAACTGGAGTAGGGACTGACCACCTGTTGCTAGGTGACTGGGGGAGCCACTTCCTCTCCGTGAGCCTCGGTTTCGTCCGCTGTAAAATTGATTGTTGTGTTTTGGCTGCACCATGCGGCTTGTGGGATCTTAGATCCCTGACCAGGGATTGAACCTGGGCCCTCGGCAGTGAAAGCGCTGAGTCCTAACCACTGGACCGCCAGGCAGTTCCCTAAAATGGGTTGTTGATAGGATCACCCGTATTGTAGAGAGCTCTGCGCCAGTGTCTGAACGATATTCCTTGGTTCTTATCCGCTGGACTGCCAGGGAAGTCCCAGCCCCAGCTGTTCTTATCTGATGGTTCCCACTGCCAGTTTGGTGGACGTCAGAAACTTCCGGCGCTCCTTTCTCTCTTCCCCCACCCACCTTACCCGTCTCACCTGCTATCAGATGGTAGAAATATGCTCTTGTGTTTTCCCATCCTACTTGTCATAGTTTTGAGTTTTATATATTTGCATGATTAATCCGTGTGGAATTTGTTTTGCTATGTGGTGGGAGTGGAGTTAACTTTATCTTCTTCCAAATGAGCAGTCAAGGCTACTGACTGATTTATCCTTTCCCTGACAACTGGAAATTCCACATTTATCATGTATTCAATTCTTACATGTATAAAATTTGAAAATTAATTTTTTAAATACGTGCACCCGGAAAACTCAAAGCTGCATTTTTATTTCCAGTTTTAGCTATATTATACATGGATTATATATCGTGGTTATTCATTTAACAAACTCTGACTGAGTGCCTGTCTTGTGCCAGATGCTATGCTGGGCGCTGGGGGCAAAGTTATGAACAAAACAGACATAAATCCCTGCCCTTGTGCAGCAAACAGACATGGGGGAAGACAATAGTCAATGGGTAAATGAGTCAGAAACAAAATAAAATAGGGTAACAGGAGAGAAGGGGGAAAGGGTGCTGTTTTATTTTATTTTATTTTTTTAAATTATTTATTTTATTTATTTTTATTTTTGCCTGCACTGGGTCTTCGCTGCTGTGTGCAGGCTTTCTCTAGTTGCAGCGAGCGGGGGCTACTCTTTGTTGTGATGCGCAGGCTTCTCATTGTGGTGGCTTCTCTCGTTGCCAAGCATGGGCTCCAGGCTCGCGGGCTCAGTAGTTGTAGCTCGTGGGCTCAGTAGATGTGGCACGTGGGCTCTAGAGCACAGGCTCAGTAGTTGTAGCGCACGGGCTTAGTTGCTCCACAGCATGTGGGATCTTCCCAGACCAGGGCTCGAGCCTGTGTCCCCTTCATTGGCAGGAGGATTCTTAACCTCTTCCCCCCAAGGGTGCTGTTTTAGACAGGATGGTCAGAGAAAGCCTCTCTGAGGAGGTGATGTTTGAGCTTGAAGGAGGTGGAACCAAATGGCTGTCTCAGGGAAGAGCTTTCCGGGGAGAGGGAACAGCCAGAGCAAAGCTCCTGAGGTGAAACTGTGTCTGGTGAGTTTATAGTCTAATCAGGGGGGACATGGGCTGGTGGTGGCCTGGGTGAGGGCAAGTCCACCATCCTCCTGGGCAACAGATGCCCATTGAAGGAGACCCAGCCCAACCTCCCCCGATTTTTTTGCTGGAATATTTTGGGGGTTGAAATTCAAAAAGGAAAAAAATATATATATATACATCATTCTTTTCTCAAAAAATTTAAAAATTTTTTCCACGTTAAAACAGTTGCTATACTAGTGTTTGTCTCCTATTTAGAAGTAGACGGTTAGATGGCAAATAGAATTTCATGACAGTTCATGAAGCCCTCATGGTCAAAACCTTTAATAAATGTGAAAAAGTTTAAAAAACAGTATACAGTATAACCAGTATAACCTACAATATAACCAGGGTGCCAGTGAGGCTGGAACAGAGCAAGGAAAGGGCAGAGTGGGAGGTGTGAAGGCAGGGAGGAGGGGACAGGGCAGAGCAGGCAGGGCCTTGTGGGAATGGTGAGGAGTTGGGCTTATGGGAGCCATAGAGGGTTCGGGGCAGAGGAGGGAGTGCACTGACTCGGGTGTCCACAGGCTCCTCTGGCCCCTGTGGGGGAACGGACAGTGGGGGACAAGTGTGGGAGCTGAGAGATCAGGGTGGAGGCACCTGCGCTGTCCAGGCAGGAGACGACAGCCGTGTGACAAGGGTGGGAGCCAAACGGGATGAGAGTGGTTGGATCCTGAATAGATTCTGAAGGCAAAGCTGATGTGAAGCAAAGAGAGACGTGTCCCAGGTTTCCAGCCTGAGCACTCAGGAGGACAGAGAAGCTTGGGGGACAACAGGGGCTCGATGTGGTCATGCTGAGTGGGAGGTGCCCATGAGACCCCCATGTAGGGTGCTGGGGGGCAGGTGTCACAGGGTCGTGCTGCTCAGGAATGAGGCCCTCCCCAGGGACCCATATTTGAGCATCATCAGGGCGGAGCTGGTGGCTGAAGGCCGGAGTTTGCAAGAGTGTCCCCAGGGGACCTAGCGTATCTGGGAAGAGAGAGGCTGTGGCCTGGGCACTGCTTGCACTGGGCGGGGTGGGACCAGCCAGCCTTTGGGCTGGCAGGGACCGTGGCAACTAAAGGGCTACTTTGGGAGGCCTTGGTCACCCAAGGGCATGGCTTGGAGCCTTGGGCCTTGCCTGTTTGCTGAAGCCTGTGGGCCAGGGGGCAGGTGGGGCCTCCACAGCTAGAAGCCACTGGGGGGGTGGTGTGACATTTCTCTAGGGACAAGCTGAGTTGGTGACCAGAGTCCCATCAGGGGGTGCCTGACTCTGAGGCAGCAGGTATGATTATTGAGCACCAACTGTTCTCTTATAACCCCATGCTGGCTGTATGCTTCACACTGGATATCTCGTCCTGCTGACTACACCCTGATGCCGGCTGTATCATGCCATGTCACCTGTAGAGCTGGTTGTACTATGAAGTATACAACTGGCCCCAGGAGCTGTTGGGAGATGCAGTTTGAACAGGCACATGATCAAGAGAGTATACAGCTGGCGCAGGGGTGGATGGTTGGTTTAGGGGGTGTAGCCAGCTGACTGGGAATGCTGTGCTGACTGTGTACCCTCACACCAGCTGTACAACTCCCCGCTGACTGTATACCTCCCACTAGCTGTATACCACTACCCCTACTGTACACCCCACACTGATTAAACACCCCGAATTGTATACCTTCATGTGGGCCATATACCCCATGCTGGCAGTACCCCCATACCTACTGTATACATCCATATCAGCTGAGGATTCCTACACTGACAATATACTACATCCATGCCAACCGTATACTTTTTGGTATCCCATGCCTGGTCTTTGGCTGGTTTTGGTTTTATGCTTTAGACCCATTTCACAGTTGAGGAAGCTGAGGCTCAGAGAAGGCAAGGCCCTGGCCTGAGTATCCTCGGGCTCAGATGGGGCAGGAACATTCAAATCCAGGGCCACCTGGTAGGATATCAGCTCCACAAGAGCAGACCCACAAGACTGGGTCTCTCACATGCCACTGTACCCAATAGGCGCTCAATAAATACGTGTTCTTCAAAGCAGTGGCTTCAGGATTATCGACCGAGAAAGTGTGCAAGGGTGGTGAGCTGAGGTGTGTAGCCTTGGGGGCCACAAAGGGACCAGCTAGGGGCAATGCCAGAAAGGGATGGGGCACTGGGGGCTGTCAGTCCTAATTTGGCAGTTTTCCAGAGACAGGGATGTGAATTTTTATATGGACTGTCCCAATATTTAACTGTTGGCATTTACTTTTTAAAAAAATGCATCCACAAGTTGGAGAGTTTTCAGCCCAGATACTCTGTCATTGGTTGTTCGGGTTAAGCCATCTGCCCGTTTTGCTGTGCCTGGCTAGACACTGACCTCCCTATGCCTCAGTTTACATACCTGGAGAATGGGACAGTAATTAGGCGCTTTCCAGGGTTGAGAGATGTTCTAGGGCGGTGTCGCCTGGTTGGGGGCAGGGGTCTAGCCCCGGCCGCAGAGTGAAGCCACAGAGTTCCCCGGGTGGGGGCTGGGCGGGAGGGGTGCGGAGAGGGCTAAATCGGGCGGCGGGTGAGTGACTGGAGCAGCTGCCGCCCCGCCCGGCCCTCTCCTCTCTCCCTCTCTCCCTCCCTCCGTTCCGTGGTCCAGTCCGTCCGAGGCAGCAGCTCTGCTAGGGCCGGTCTGACCGGTTTGGGCCGCCCCGCCTGTCTCTGCTGGGAGGGGCCGCGGTCAGTCAGTCCCTCGGTCCCTCCCTCGGGACTCCTGCGCGTCTGGACCCGAGGGCAGAGAGGGAGCGCGAGCAGTCAGGCGGCCGTAGGGGCAGGGCGCCCGCAGGGATGGGGGGCGAGCGGCAGCATTACTACGGGAAGCACGGTAGGCAGTGCCCCGCTCTCGCGCCCGGGCCTGGCAACTTGGAGGGGGAGGGGGCAGCGGGAGGACCCAGGATGGAGGGACGAGGGGGGAGCGGAATTGCAAATCTCGCCCTGTACCCCCCCAACCCCCCATCGTCACCTGGCAGCACCCTTCACCCCAACGCCCGCCCAGAGGTCCCTCCAAACTCCCTCATCCGAAGGGTCTGTCCTCGCAGCCTCCCCAGGACTCCTGTGAGAACCATCTCCAGATCCCACCTTGGACTCTCCCCTCTCCACCGGGCTCGCTGGTAGCCCTTTTTCCAGCCCCCTCCCAGTGAGTGGTCGCCAGGTGATAAATCGGGCTGTTCACAGAAAATCCTCAGGATCTCTGAATCTTACTTCTCCGTGGCCAAGACACCCCTAGGAACATCTGGGGAAGGGTGGTCTGCCAGCCTCATCTTGGATCACTCAGCTCAATCTTGCTGAATTTCAGGAACACCACAGAAGTATGACCCCACCTTCAAAGGACCCATTTACAACAGGTAAGCCGTCTGGGTTCCTGAGAGGGGAGGGGTCTCTACTAACACTGCCTCCACCCCTGTTTCTTTACACACTTCCACATTTGTACGCCAACAACCTGGTGATAAATATTTGCAACTTAACGATAAAAGAACTTATAAGAATGATAAAAGAACGATAAAGGAATTTCCTTAATATACAAAGTCTTTACAAATGAATTTTTAAAATTCAGGCAAAAGACTGGAACATCATTTATAGAACAAGAAATACTGTAAACAGTGGAGTTATGGAGAAATGCTCAAACTCACTGGAAAGTAAAGGAATGTAATTTAAAACAGTAACCAAACAGAATTTCCCCATCACAGCTTGGCAGAGGCTAAAAAGATTGACACGCTAGGGTATACAGAAGTAGAAACATAATGTTGTACACATGAAACTTACATAATGTTATAAATCAATGTTACCTCAATTAAAAAAAAAAGATTGACACACATTCTGCTCTGAAACTAGTTGATACAGCCTTTTTTGGAGGGAATTTGGAAATATGACTTTTTCTCTTTTTTTTGATGTACAACTGTTTGTTCAAGAGATTAAAATTCTATGAAAAAAATTCTCCCAGTACACCTTGCATAGATGGGCAAAATTGTATGATAATGCTGCCTTTTTGAAAATGGCAAAACCCAACAATCTGAGTTGCAGCTCTTGGAACTAGTTAGATACATTACAGTGCATCCTTAGGTTATTTTATTACACAGCTGTTAAAATGTACAAGAGCCTTTATAAATAGTCACTTGGATCCCTCTCAATATATTAGTGAAAAAAGCAAGACACAAATAGTGGGTGTATCATAATCATACTCGAGTTAACCAAAAAAAGTTTTTTTGGAAAACATTTGTACCAGTGAATAAAGAACTCACTAGAAATCATTAACACAGGTTACTCCTGGAGAGGAGGGTTATGTGGGAGACAGTTCTTGGTTATGTACATTCCTGTGTGGTTTAAATTTTATCATGTTCATATTTAATCTTATGATAATAGTTTAATTTTTTCTTTTTAGTAAGTGCTAACATGGTTGGTGAAACTTATGGGTTTTTGTTTTCATTTTTTCTTCCAGTTTTATTGAGATATAATTGACATACAGTACTGAATAAGTTTAAGGTGTACAGCATAATGATTTTTTAATTAAAAAATTTTTTTTTTATTTTGGGCTGCGTTGGGTCTGTGTTGTTGCGCGCGGACTTTCTCTAGTTCCCTCGAGCGGGGGCTACTCTTTGTTGTGGCGCGCGGGCTTCTCATTGCGAGGGCTTCTCTTGTGGAGCACGGGCTCTAGGCGCGCAGGCTTCAGTAGTTGTGGCATGTGGGCTCAGTAGTTGTGGCTCGCGGGCTCTAGAGCGCAGGCTCAGTAGTCGTGGCGCACGGGCTTACTTGCTCCGCGGCATGTGGGATCTTCCCAGACCAGGGCTTGAACCTGTGTGCAGGCATTGGCAGGCGGATTCTCAACCACTGCGCCACCAGGGAAGCCCCAGCATAATGACTTGATTTACATATATCATGAAATGATTACCACAAAAAGTTTAGTGAACATCCGTGATCTCATATAGATATGAAAGAAAAGAAGAAGAAAAAAATAACTTTTCCTTGTGATGAGAACTCTTAAAATTTCCTCTCTTAACAACTTTCATATATATCATACAACATTATATTTACCATGTGTACATTACATCACTTATTTACCTTATAATTGGAAGTTTGTACCTTTTGAATACCTTCATCCAATGCCCCCTTCCACTCCCCAACTGCCACCTCTGGTAGCCACAAATCTGATATCTTTTTCTATGAGTTAGTTTTTTTTTTTTTTACATCTTTATTGGAGTATAATTGCATTACAATGGTGTTAGTTTCTGCTTTATAACAAAGTGAATCAGTTATACATATATTCTCATATCTCTTCCCAGTTAGTTTGTTTTTGAAGTATAATTGACCTACATCACTATGTTAGTTCCTGGTGCACAGCATAGTGATTCAGTATTTCTATACGTTACAAACTGATCACCACAAAATAGCTTCACTTTTAAAAAACATTAATATGCTATGCTGGTAAGGATGTAGGGCAATGGGCACTTAATCGAAAGAGAGCTGAACATCGCTGCAAACTGCTTTGAGGACAGTGGAGCATGAGGTATTAAAATTTATTTTTTAGTTTTTTTATTGAGTTATAATTAATATACAATGTTATATTAGTTTCAGGTGTGCAACATAGTAATTTGATATTTTTATACATCATGATCACTGCAATCAGACCAGTTACCACCCATCACCATACAAAGTTGTTACAATATATTTTTTAAAAATATTTATTTATTTGGTTGTGCTAGGTCTTAGTTATGGCAGGTGGGCTCCTTGGTTGCAGCTCATTGGCTCCTTAGTTGTGGCTCCAGGGCTCCTTAGTTGTGACATGCAAACTCTTAGTTGTGGCATGCATGTGAGATTTAGTTTCCTGACCAGGGATCGAACCCGGGGCCCCTGTATTGGAAGCATGGAGTCTTATCCACTGCACCACAAGGGAAGTCCCCAAAGTTGTTACAGTATTACTGACTGTGTTCCCTATGTGTATATTACATCCCTATGACTTATTTATTTTGTAGTTGGAAGTTTGTACCTCTTAATCCCCTCTACCTGTTTCGTCCATCCCCCCACCCACCTCTAGTCTGACAACTGCCAGTTTATTCTCTGCATCTATGAGTCTGTTTCTGTTTGTTTGTTCATTTGTTTCATTTTTTTAGATTCCACATATAAGTGAAAGCATACGTTATTTGTTTCTCTGTCTGACTTATTTCACGTAGCAGAATATCCTCCAGATCTATTCCATGCTGCTGCAAATGGCAAGATTTCATCCTTTATGGGGGGCTGAGTAATATTCTATTGTATACATATACACCACATCTTTATCCATTGATCTATGGATGGGCACTTAGGTTGCTTCCATATCTTGGCTTTTGTAAATAGTGCTGCAATGAAAGGTATTAATATTTAAAATGCACGTGCCCTTTGGCATAGCACGTGCCCTTTGGCATAGCATCAGGAACATGTGTCCAAATAACACATACCTATATATGTGTACAAGGCAGGATGGGTCCATGATATCCAGGGCACCAGTACTCCCACCCTGACGCGGTCTCTTGCTCCCCAGAGGCTGCACAGACGTCATTTGCTGTGTGTTCCTCCTCCTGGCCATTGTGGGCTATGTGGCTGTAGGCATCATAGGTGAGCAAAGGAGGGGATGGGATTGGGGTTCCAGGGTGGAAGGGCAAGCCACCGCCTCTGGGGCAGAAGTGGGGCTGGTGCTAAGGAGTGGCAGCCTCTCGGCATCTCTGGATCCCTCCACAGCTTGGACTCACGGGGACCCTCGAAAAGTGATCTACCCCACTGATAGCCGAGGCGAGTTCTGCGGGCAGAAGGGCACGAAAAATGAGTGAGTCTGGCTCCTTGGGGCCTGCTGGGTCTGGGGAGGAGTGTGCGGGAGAGCTTCATGAGCACTGGGGAGAAGGTTCTAGGCTTTCCTCGCCTCCATCCATCCACTAGTCCAGTCAACAAGTATTTATAAAACTCCCGCCATCCCCAGCCTCTGTTCTAGGCCTTGGGGACACAGCACTAAATGAGACATTCAAAGTCTTGTCCTCTGGTGGCCCACATTTTAGGGGAGAGACAGAGAGGAGACAGTCCCAGATCTGATGTCCGCGGGTGATGAATAGGTGAGGTAAAAGAGGAAGTTCAATCCAAGCTGTGCCATTCCCTGGCTGTGTGACCTATGGCAAGTGTCTCAACCTCTCTGGGTCTCATTTTCCTTATCTCTGAAATGGGGATCATGACAGTCCCACTCTCATGGGGCTGTTGTGATGGTTAGATGAGCCAGCACATGTCCAGTGCTTAGAAGAGCACCTGGCATGGAGTTGCTGCTGCTGTGGTTATTATTGTTGTTGTTGTTTTTGTTAAGATAGTCTATATAGGCTGATTGAGAAGACTTGACAGTTTCCATCTCCCTTCCCCAACCCCAGGAACAAACCCTTCCTGTTTTATTTCAACATTGTGAAGTGTGCCAGCCCCCTGGTCCTGCTGGAATTCCAGTGTCCCACCCCCCAGGTAACTTGTCCCCTCCCCACCTCTTTCCTTTCCCCCACTTCCACCATCAGGTCCTTTTTCCCTCTGTAGTGGCAGCTTCTCTCCCAGCCCTTTCTCTCTCCCTGGTGAATAGGGGGAAGGGGGTGGGACCTCTGTCTTGAGAGGCGATCAGGTGTCTGTCCAGACCCCACTCAAACCCTGCCTCCTGCCCCCCCAAGATCTGCGTGGAGAAATGTCCTGACCGTTACCTCACCTACCTGAACGCTCACAGATCCCAGGACTTTGAGTACTACAAGCAGTTCTGTGTGCCTGGCTTCCAGAACAACAAGGTAAGCAGATAACTGCCCAGGCAGGGGCAGGTCGAGAGTGCTGGCCCGCAGGATTGACCCCCCTCCCTGTCTCTTGGCAGGGTGTGACTGAGGTCCTCCGAGATGGCGACTGCCCCGCCGTCCTCACCCCCAGCAAACCCTGTGAGTCTGGGGTCCCATGAGCTTGGGAGGGGCATGGGGGAGGTTTCAGGGGCTCAGCCTGACTGGTCCTATCCCCTGCTCTGTGCAGTGGCCCAGCGGTGCTTCCCAGACATCCACAGCCACAAGGGGGTCCTCATGGTGGGCAACGAGACAACCTATGAGGATGGGCATGGCTCTCGGAAAAACATCACAGAGCTGGTGGAAGGCGCCAAGTGAGGACTGTGACCCACCATGCTGACATCACATTTTCCTGGGTGGGACAGGGCATCCCCTGGGGCTGGCCCAATCAGGGAGCGGGGTCCAACCTAAAGCCTTGTCTGCCTTCCCCCAGGAAGGCCAATGGAGTCCTGGAGGCCCGGCAGCTGGCCATGCGGATATTTGAAGATTATACAGTCTCCTGGTACTGGATTATCATGTAAGTTGAGAGGGAAGGTAGCCCTCATTGGGCTGCCCTGTCTGAGACTGGTGAGGGGGTGGGGTCCGCTCATGCACCCATTTTATCCCCCAGAGGCCTGGTCATCGCCATGGTATTGAGCCTCCTGTTCATCGTCCTGCTCCGCTTCTTGGCTGGCATTATGGTCTGGGTGATGATTGTCATGGTGATTTTGGTCCTAGGCTACGGTAAGTCTCTCCCTCCCTGTGTCCTCCCCTCCCCACAGTCTGCAAAGTGCCTATGCCCTTTGAGCTGTCATTGGCCTATCAAGAATCTTCTGTCCCTGGTGGTCCAGTGGTTAGGACTTGGCGCTTCCACTGATGGGGCCTGGGTTTGATCCCTGGTTGGAGAACTGAGATCCTCCAAGCCGTGTGGCACAGCCGAAAAAAACAAAACAAAACTTCTCCTGAGCCATCAGACATCCTCCATCTTTTATTTGGAATATTTGTGAAGATATTCATCTCAACATTGTTTATGAGATCAGGTACTTGGAAACAACCATTAAATCATAATCTTCCCAAGCAGGACTGGATCTGTATTTCATCGACAGCAAAATTCATTCTAAAGTATACCATTTTGCACAGTGGTTAGGGCCACATGCTCTGGCACCAGAAAGCCCAGGGTTCAAATGCTGGCTCTGCCAATTCCTTGCTCTGTGACCTTGGGCAAGTGACTCAACCTCCCCATGCCTCAATTTCCTTCTCTATAAATTGGGGATAATTAGTATTTACGAGTTAGGAGACTTAATGAGAACAAGACAGTCTGCAGATGAGATGTGGGAGGGCCTGAGGCCTGTGGAACTCAGAGGCAGTGCTCAGAAGCCAGTGCTTCACGTTCTGTTTATTCATTTAAACTTTCCAAGAGGAAAGATGCTGGATGTGCAACCTACACTGGAGACACAGATGTTAAAATATTCATTAAAAAAAAATTTTTTTTTGTTTGTTTTTTGGCCATGCCGCGCAGCATGTGGGATCTTAGTTCCCCGACCAGGGATTGAACCCATGCCTCCTGCAGTGGAAGTGTGGAGTCCTAACCCGTGGACTGCCAGGGAATTCCCAAAATATTCGTTAATAGTCGTTTCTAGATGGGTGCTGGCAATTTTGGTGACTAGCTTTTTGTACTTTATCTGTACTTTATAACTTTCTTCTACCAGAGCTAAGGGGAATGGTGAAAATCCCTAGTGCTACCCCACTGGATGTTAGCACCCGTGTCCTCCCTCCCCACCCATGAATCATTGTTACAGGATGGCAGAGGGGTCAGGAAAGCCTCAGGCCACACAGCATCCTGACACCTATTCACTCATTCATTCATCCATCGTGTACTGAATGACTGCTATGTTCTGGGCAGTCTTCTAGGTCCTGGGCTTACAGCAGTGAATAAAACAGGACAAATCCTTACTTTGCGGAGCTTATATTCCAGAGGGTACGGGCAAGATGGGCAAGAAACAAACCAGAAAACCTCTGGGATGTCAAAGCTGTGAAGGGGGATAAGAAATTGGAATGTAAGAGGGTATGATTCTAAATGGGGGAAGAGATCCCAGAAGGTCTCATGAGAAGGTGACATTTGAGCAGGGACTAGAGGATGTGAGGATCCAGTTGGGGAGAGACTGAACCAGGCAGCAGGAACAGCAGGTAAAGGCCCTGAGGCAGCAGCAGGCGATGGCAGCCCCTCTCAGCCTTGGTTTTTGTTTCTGTTAAATGGGTGTGGTTGTACGTGCTTTGTGATGTTGCGGGAGCCGTCGGAGGGCTGAGGTCAGTCGTAGCACGGTGGTTCCCCATGCAGGCATATTTCATTGCTACATGGAGTACGCTCGACTGCGTGGCGAGGCCGGCTCTGACATCTCCCTGGTGGACCTTGGCTTCCAGACGGACCTCCGCGTGTACCTGCACTTGCGGCAGACCTGGATGGCCTTCAGTGAGTCCCAGCTCCCCATTCAGTGAGGCCTGGGTGGGAGTGGGGAGCCCAGGCAGGTGGCAGACTTGATCACTCTCTGCCCGCCCCCCCTCCCCGCAGTGATCATTCTGAGCATCCTCGAGGTTATTATCATCTTACTGCTCATCTTTCTACGGAAGAGAATTCTCATTGCCATTGCACTCATTAAAGAAGCCAGCAGGTGGGTGCCGGGGTGCCAGGGGGTTAGGCTGGGGTGGTCCCAGGGCTGCTCGGGCCTTGATGTCTGTGTTTCTACTCCTCCCAGGGCTGTGGGATACGTGATGTGCTCCTTGCTGTACCCACTGGTCACCTTCTTCCTGCTGTGCCTTTGCATCGCCTACTGGGCTAGCACCGCTATGTATCCACCGTCAGACCCCGATCTCCGACCCCGGGGCTGGGGGCTAAGTGCCACACTTGCCTGGAGGTGACCTACATCTTGGGGGCAAAGCCTGAACCTGGTGTGGGAATGGATTCTTTTCCACATGCCCCTGTGGTCTCTAATCCCAGACGCTGGGTTCCTTAATGGTCTCTAGCTTTCTGTCCACTTCCAACGAAGCTGTCTATAAGATCTTCAATGACACCGCTTGCTCAGTTGCTGGGAAAACCTGCAACCCCGAGGTGGGTGTCTGGAAGTGTGTGGGGGGGTGTCTATTTCCCTAGCAGCCCACAGTTGATCTGAAGGCCTCTCACCCCCACTTGGGGACCATTCAGCAAACATTTGGTGCCAGATGTGGGTGGCATGGAGAGGAAGAGATCCAGCCTGGCACCTACTCCGCCCCACCCACTAAGTGCTGATCTACCCACCTTCCCCCACCCCTTGACTTCATTTCCTGCCCCAACACCCCTCTCTTAACCCAGTGGTGGTCAGTTCTTCCTTTAGAGCCCCGTCTTGCCTTTCACAAGCCCCTAACCTGCCTTCCGTGGTCCTCATACTGATCTCTGCCACTTGTGATCTGTCCACATGGCCACGCCATTGATCCCCAAGATAGCTTATCCCGCCTCTGACACCCATTGGGATGATGATCCCTAATCTTGTTTCTAAAAGGCCTTTTGAAAGCCCCTATCCTAACCCCCGAATTCCTTGACTTAACTCTGTTCCCCATGACTCCTGTCCCATTTCGTGGTCTACCTGACAGGTCTGACCTGATGCCCAGAGCCCACTCTGAACCCCTAGCCCCTATGATGTGACCAGGCTCTGCGTCCCTCCCACAGACCTTCCCTTCCTCCAATGAATCCCGCCTGTGCCCTGGAGCCCACTGCCAGTTCGCCTTCTACGGTGGTGAGTCGACTTACCACCGGGCCCTGCTGGGCCTGCAGATCTTCAATGCCTTCATGTTCTTCTGGCTGGCCAACTTCGTGCTGGCGCTGGGCCAGGTCACGCTAGCTGGCGCCTTCGCCTCCTACTACTGGGCCCTGAACAAGCCGGATGACCTGCCTGCCTTCCCACTCTTCTCTGCCTTCGGCCGGGCGCTCAGGTGGGGCCCCAGGTGGGCTGGGGGTAGGGGTGAGTTGGAGTGGAAGAGGCCTGGCTGGACCACTGACCACTCCCTCGGCCCAAAGGTATCACACAGGCTCTCTGGCCTTCGGCTCCCTCATTCTGGCCATCGTGCAGGTCATCCGAGTGATACTCGAGTACTTGGATCAGCGCCTGAAAGGTACGGCCCACAGATGGTTGGCAGTAACTCCCGAGGTGGAGGGGGCGGGGCTGAGGGGCAGGTTAGGATTGGTTCTTGTGGGGGGGTGAGGCTAAGGTGGTGGGACAGAGATTGGTTTCTGCCTATGGTGGGGAAAGGGTGGGGCTGAGGGTCTTGAGTGATTGGTTCCTGTGATGGAGGGGTGGCTGAAAGAGCCCACTGGGTGTTCTTACTGCTGAGGGGGTTGGGAACAAGAGGACTGGGCCACCATTGGTTCCTGACAAGAGGGTTGGGCTGGGATTGGTTGTACTTTGGGGTGGAGCCAAGGAGGCATCAAGGATTGGCTTCTGCCTTGGAGGCGGGGCCAGGATAGCAGTGTGGGTTGTCACTGCTTCTTGTCTTGGAGGCTGGGCCTGAGGTCCTGGATCAAGTCTCCTCTCCCCATCTCTTTGAGAAGGTGGGCTCTAAAGGTCCTGGACTATGGCAAGTGAGTGTAACAAGGAGATAGGGGGCTCCTACCAGGCCGAGTGGGGTCTCCTCTCACCCACCTCTGCATCTCCCCCTCATCTACCAGCTGCAGAGAACAAATTTGCAAAGTTCCTCATGACCTGTCTCAAATGCTGCTTCTGGTGCCTGGAGAAATTCATCAGATTCCTCAACAGGAAT